GAAAGGAAGGAGGCTCCAGATTAGCAAAGTACTACTGAAGAATAACAACAATGTAGAAGGACTCATACTTCCTAATCTCAAGTTTTGCACATAGTTATGGTAAACAGCCTAGGTATAATAACAAACACATAGAAAAAAAGTCTATCACAAAAGGACAAATAATATATGAGATCACTGTTATAAAAAGTTAAGAAAAGATTTTCATCCTAAAAGAAACATTCTTTGATGGTTACTAGGGGTCAGGGAGGAGGGAAGTGTGAATTACTAACTAGAGGGTAGACACATATTAACTTGGTGAAAGGAAAGGCGATTTTAAGAAAAGTTGATGATGGAGGTAGGGACAAGGGGGTTCAGTGCTTAGGGGACACTGAGCTTCTATTAAGCGTGATAGAAAATTGGTAATAACACATACAGGTATTGACATGATAAACACAATGACTGTCACAACTATACATGTGAAGATTATTTAAATGGCACATGTTTTGTCACTTACATGTTTATAATGAAATTTTAATGAAAATTATAAAACAGAAGTATGCAAAGATGCAAATGTTTATTAATTCATTAGTATTTTAATATGGGGCTGATTTCTTTTTGTTGAATATGAGTCAACTGCTGTGTAGCTTTATTCACACAAATCATCCTACATTCATCAACTAAAATTTCTAGTTTGGGTTTCTTTAAAGAGGAATGAGAATGTAGTCATTCTTGAATCAAACTGATAGCATAATTTTTATCCCTCCTTTCAGTGTTTTACAATTCTTTCCCACATTTAAATCATCCATGATTTTTTTTTTTTTTTAACACCTTGATTTTCTAGAGTCTTTAGTTTCCAAAAAAATAGCAACTCATTTAATGGTACATATTTCATTAAATTATGTAACATGCGTGAGGGACAATTAAAATGTATTGCTACTAGGAATTCAGTCGAAGTCGAACAATTGTATTCTTAAATAAAGCATGTTTAAACGTGTCTCTGCAATCAGTGTGTGACTGCAGACAAGTTCTCTCAGAACACACTTGTTTTAGTTTCCTTTTTGTTGTTGTTGTTAAGTGCCGTCGAGTCGATTCCAACCCATAGTGACCCTGTGTTGGTTTCTATAAATTAGTTTATAGAACTTGGGTTTCCAAGGAGCAGATGCTGAGCTTTAACTGCCAACCTTGCAATTCAAATGGCTTTGCAGTCTGACGCATTAACCACAGCACCACACTTGGACTCCTTAGTCTCCTTGTTGTTGTTCTTAAGTGCCGTCAAGTAGATTCTGACCCATAGTGACCCTGTATAGGGTTTCCAAGAAGTAGCTGGTGAGCCTGAACCACCAACCTTGCAGTTCAAACGACTTTGCAGTCTGACGCATTAGCCCAGAGCGCCATACCAGGACTCCTTAGGGTACCTTTAAAAACAAAACAAAAAAAGTCCAATCACAATGGTGGCTTTCTAGGGAATCTGCTTAAATTAAATTTAATTAAGACCAATTAAATTCAGTGCAGAGAGGTCAGCTCAGGTTATGGTAACTAATTTTGGATTCCAAGGGGGTAATCTTGATAGATTTTCTTAAAGGACACAGAATAATCTTGGGGGTTTATTTTGAAGTTTGAGGATAAGGCCAGAAAAGAAACAACAAGGAATTTTTTTTTGTTTATCAAGACAATGCACCTGCTCATTTTTGGAAGGCAGCAAGGAATGTCCTATGAGAATTTCATTGGGAAACCTAACTGCATCCATCTCATGTCCCTAATCATGCTCCTTCAGACTTTTTTATTTCTCAAACTTAAAGAAATTTTTAAAAGAACACAATTTGAGTCCCTCAAGGATGTTAAAACTACTGTTTGGCAAAGTATAACTAGAATAGTACAGCATTCTTTGGAGGCGGGAGGGCTAGAGAGATGGAAACACTGCCTTTTAAATTATAGATCAGCTGGTCAAACCCACGGGCTGCTCCTTAGAAACTCTATACAGGGTCTCTATGAGTTAGGACCAACCTGATGGCACCGAACAACAAGAGCAAATGAAGGATATGTCAAGGAACAATATTTTCATTTGTTCAATTCTGATATTTTTGTTTTAATAAAGGTTTCTCTGGTTATGTAGTAATACTTTTTGACTCTCCCTCATATATCTGGCATAAGCAGGCATAAGCCTGCAGGTTGCTTTAAGCATATACTATGATCACAATGCATTAAGAACATGTGCATGATTCTGATTACTCATAGCTAAATTATTTTTGAAATATCTTTGTGAGCAATTTTAAACCCCTCATTGTTTTGCACACTCTTTTGCTCTTATATCACTGGCCATCCTAATATAAGATAGAAAGAAATAAGCCCTATTTATTTTTGTGAGCATTAAAGTCTCAGGTATCTGTTGTTATCCTGGGGCCAAAGGAGGAGGGGAATGAAACCATTAAAAAATTGGTAGCAACCAAAAAGTTATAAAGAGGTTGTAAGTTTTTAAAATAATAGAAGAGAGGAGTTTAATTTTGCTCTTCTTGAGTATGGGCTGGATTCAGTGACTTTCAAAGAACAGCTATACAAATTCAATTTATAGTAGAGAAACCTGGCAGATACACTTTAACCAAGTGACCAAGGTTAACATAACTAATGATAGATAAGTCATGTTGATATGATGTACCCTCTGATATGATGTGATGAGAAGGAAACTCTCCTTTGTTGTATTCTTCCCCCCAAGCCCATACCCTAGTCTAATCATAAGAAAATGGCAACTCAAATTGTAGGACATTCTATAGAAAACTTGACCAATATTTTTCAAATTTCTCAAATTTTGAAAAAAGGAAAGGCTGAGAAACTGCCATGGACCAAAGGAGACTAGGGAGACATGATGACTAGATGCTATGTGGTATGGATTAGATCCTGGAATGGAAAAAAAGGATACTGGTGAGTCAAACTGGTGAAATTCACATAAAGTGTGTAGTTTTCACTAGTGTACTTGCCTATGTAAGATGTTAACATAAGAGGAAGTTGGGTGAAGTATATAGCGGAACTACCTGTATTATTTTTGTAACTTTTCTGTAAATTTAAAATGATTTCAGCGTTGGGCTGCTAACCATCCACAGGAGAAAGATGAGGCTCCTGTCAAGATTTAAAGCCAGGGTGGGAAATGTGCTGGCCATATAAGGCCCTCAGAATCATTTTGTCAGACCTTGCCAAGACAACCATAGTTCTAGTCATCACATTGCCGTCGTTATTGTTAAGTGCCATTGAGTCAGTTCCAACTCACAGCAAGCCTATCTGGGTTTCCAAGGAGCAGCTGATGGGTTTGCACTGCTGACCTTGTGGTTTGCAGTCTAGTACTGATCCTACAGCACCATGCCAGGAGTTCAAATATAGCAGGTTAATAGTTAAGTTGATAATTTTGTATGGACTGTGAATGACATGACAAACTTTGGCAGATAAAAGGTTCCCCACCCATGATTGACAGCCTCAGAAACCCTGTGCAGTATTGCTATGAGTTGGAACTGACTCCGTGACATACAGCAGCAGCAGCAGTATACTATTTGTAAATGTACCATGCTATTTTTTTTTTTTTTCTTTTACAGTAACATGTAAAAAAAAAATGGCATAGTGGCACTTACAAAAATATCTCCGAGAGGGAGGAAGCAGTTGGCAAACAAACATAGCAGGCATATATTGTTTGCATAAAATACAGTATCTCACTGGAAAAATAGTCATTGATCACAGGTATAGAAAGAACAGAATGGTCAATAAATATGAAGACAGTTTAAACCCATCAGCAACTTATGAATTGCTCATTAAAAACAATATTGGGAATATTTTTATCCATTAAATTGATAGAGATGAACAGGTAATAGTATTCAATTCTAAGAAAGTTAAGTGGATAGATGGATTGTAGATGGGTACAACTTTTCTAGAAAGCAGTTTGCTAATCCAAGTATGGGATTCTGGTGTGGCGCTGTGGGTTAATGCGCCAGACTGCAAAGCTGTTTGAACTGCAAGGTTGGCAGTTCAAGCTCACAAGCTGCTCCTCAGAAACCTTATACAGGGTTGCTGTGGTTCAGAATCAACTCGATGACACTTAACAACAACAACAACAACAATCCAGGTATAAGGTCTTAAATTATTAATATCATTTGGCTTTCCCTTACATATACATGATTTTTTTCCATGGAAATAATTAGACATGCAAAAAATTTTTCTAATAAGAATGTCCATCACATGTTATGGTATTGATAAACTTAGAACAACTTAAATATCTAACAGGGAGAAATTTATTTAAGAAGTTATGGCTTACCTATAGAATAGAATATTGTGGAGCTATAAGGAGCACTGGTAGGAACTTTAACAACAACAACAATTATGAGTCATAGAGTCCTGGTGTGGCACTGTGGGTTAATGCACTGGATTGCAAAGTAGGTTTGAGCCACAAAGTTGGTAGTTCAAGCTCACCAGCTGTTCCTTGGAAACCCTATATTGAGTTGCCACTGACTTGACAACACTTAACAACAACAACATCCTTTTAATTCACATGTTTCTACACATGTATATAAAGTTAGGATATGAGAATATATGTTAGTATTATCATGTTTTTATTACTTTTTGCACAGTTATATCATGATTCATAATGTTGTTGTAAAGTGCTGTCGAGTTGGTTCTGACCCATAACAAACCTGTAGAGGGTTTTCCAGGCGCGACTTGGTGAGTTTGAACTGCTAACCTTGTAGTTCAAACCGACCTTGAGATCCAGTGCTTTTCCTATAGCGCTACACCAGGACTCCAGAAACCCTATATCGGCAAGGAAATATACTTGACTTTGGGTAGTGAGAAATGGGTGACTTTTCTTTTCTTTATACCTTTCTATGTTTTCAAAATTATTTGTTGGTAGTATATATTTTATAGTTGGGGAAAAATTAACAATGCCAGTAATATAGCTGATGAGTTTCTTTTATCTTTATTGTTGATTTAATGAAAATGTTTAAGTTTTATTTTGTTTAGTGGAAAACAGTATTTCCTCTTTCTTCTAGGAAGCTCCTAAGGGTACTCCCACTACCGAGTGAAAACTGGGGAGCTCTAGTTGGAGAGTGGTGCTGTCATCCTGACCCCTTTGCTAATAAGCCGCTTCATCCACAAGAGAATGACTGTTTCATTGGAGACTCTTTCTTCTTGGTGAAATTAAGAAACAATTCAAGGCTTCCAGGACCTGAACTAGACCAAATGGAGACACATTCTCTTTCTTCTGAGAACCGTTATGAATTGGTAAAATGTATTTTCAAAATAAATGCTGATTTTGAAGTTGACTTAGATACTAGTTTCTCAAAAATTTTCTTAATTCAAACTTGTTACACAGACCATTCTAAGAGTGGAATAGATTATTTTCAACTGCCTCTGTTCGCCAATTTCTATTCTATTGCTATAGGAAGGGCATATGATATTAAACAGAAGTAGTCATGGAGGAATAAGGGGAAGAGGATTTCTTTATGCACAGAAATGGGAGTGCTACTATTTTGTAAACCAAAATGCTATCCTCGTTGTTGTTGTTAAGTGCCGTTGAGTGGGTTCTGACTCATAGCGACCCTGTATAGACTTTCCAAGGAGTGACTGGTAGGTTTTAGCAGTCAAGTACTTATCCTACAGTGCCACAGGCATAGGTATCTACTGTGTCTGCCCATAGTCTAGATTTCTGCTGATGTCATAACACTAGACAAGAAATTTCTAAGAAAAGGAGGAAATGGAGGAGCCCAAACATGCAAATAAAGCTTATGCTGTAGGTTCTAAGTTAGTGCTTGACAATGTGAAGTCAGGTGACTCTTGCTATATAAGTTGCTTTAGGGAAAAGACAATTTTCTCTAACTGTAGAGAACAAGTGGCTTACTTTATTTTAAAAGAAAATCAATGGCATTGAGTTGACCCTTGTGAGAAATCATTCCTCTGATGGCAAGTTGGTACATATGTGATTTAAAAAGTAAGGAAAATCACTGCCAGAGAATATTCATTGTAATGTCTGATTATTGGTAGAAACTGAAACATTGTTTAAAAATTTTGCTTAGACAGCATTTAATTTTTGTAATAAGATGGGGCTATCAACAGGAAACACGCAACAGTTGGCCATCTCCTTGCTTGTAAATTAGTTTATAGAAATATTTTCTATTTTGGGGACTGTTAAGGAAGTTCTTCAAATATTATGGCTAAATTGATGTCAGTTCAAATGACTTTTGTGCCTTATCTACTTCATGAACACCAATTCCTGAATCTGCATATGGTTCATTTTAAATGATTGTGTTTTACCATTTTGTATTTTTAAAAGGTAAGCGGTAAGAAGCTAATCCAAATTTGTTATACTTATATTTAATCTGATCATATTGTTTGTATTTTTTATCTACATTTGTATATTTTAAAATATTTAGAAGATGTGAAGAGTGGAGAAAGAGGAAGTGAGACAGACTAACCATTTCCCTGTTTAGATAGACTATGCATTCTGTAATGATGTTATTTTTCTCAAACTTGTATTTTTATTAGATACATGAAGCCAATTGGTAAGAATTTTCCTTAATTGTAAACAGTAATGCTGTGTGTTAATGGACGCCATTAGAATTTTAGTAGCAAGGAAACTGTGGGGAATTACTCTCATGACTAGCTGCTGTTGGCAAGATTGTTTTCAGGTTAGCCTAGATGAAAGTTTCACTTTAATTGCATATTGTAGCTGCTGAAAGATTATGCCTGTGACCAAAATAGTAACATAAATTTGGAGGGACATGCTTGAACAGTATTCTCAAGGCTCCTGTGGGAACAAGGTTGCTCTCTGTTATTGAAAACCTATTTCTCATATAACCCAGTCTAGCCATCTAGCAGGGTTTTGAAATGTCACATGGTGAAACAGCATCCTAATGGTATCTCTTGGGAAACATTTTTTTGGCGAGACAGTACCAAGGGTCCTTAGAAATTGAAACAACAGAAAATAAAATAAAAATGAGGACAGGGAGCTAATCCACCTCTCTGAGCAGCCATGCCATCTCTCAGATATATTGATTTAATTAGTCTACAACAATGTCTTTCTTTCATACTTGCTCTGTTCAGTTCCCACACTGTTAGGTTGCTTCATTATACAACTTACTTTAATATTTCCTTTATACATAGGTACAAAAATCTGCATTCCAAAGCAGAGTTATTCTTTAGACAAGTGTCATATAGCAAAGACGGCAGTTCAAATTCACCAGACGATCCCTGGAAACCCTACACAGGGTCGCTATGAGTTGGGACCGACTCAACGGCATTTAACAACAGTAACAACTAGATCTTAATAAATATCTGGTGTTTGAAAATACCACAAAAAACAAAGTTTGATAATAATTTCTTTCTCTTAATACTGTCTAGTGTATATATATTTGTGTCTCTCTGGTTGTGGCAGGATGCATTCTTTATTTTCAGATGCTGCCTGTGAAGTATTTTCCCTTATTCTTACATTCACTTATCATCTCTTGTGCTAATTTTGGTTCTTACCAACATAATAAAAATGTTGTACCTGCACTAGGATCGTAAAGATGGTGCCTCAACCTTTATTAGATTTACAATATTATTCTAGGATTAAAAAGTATAGTCACAATATGACTTTATTCTATTTTTCAAGATAAAACAAAATTCAATTTTGATTATATTACTCCTAGACAGCACAACTGGTGTGGCACTGTAGGTCAAGCACTGGACTTCAAAGTCAGTTTGAACCTCAAGGTCAGTGGTTCAAACCCACCAGCTGCTCCTTGGAAACCCTATACAGTGCTTATCCTACAGTGCCACACAAGGACTCTCTTTTATGGAGTACTTAATACTAATTTAATGATTTTAGTGATTTGTTTGTTTGGTTAAGTCCATGCGTTTCCATTTGTTTGTTTCAGAAAATGAACTCCTGAATTTGCAAACATTCACAAAAGTGAAAAAAGAATGTTATCGTGAACCTCAATATAGCAATCTTCCTGATTCGTCAGTTATGCTTTACCTATTTCTTTTTTCTTTTTCTTTCACTGAAGTGCTCCAGAGCAAATCTCAGACACTGTGTCATTGCATTCCTACATGCTCCAGTATATACTGTATGTATGAAATTTTTCCTACATAACCACAGTTTCATTATCACACTTAACGAAATGAACAATCATTCCTTGATGATTCAAATAAGCGCTCCATATGCAGATTTTTTGGAGTCCTGGTGTGGCGCTGTGTGTTAATGTGCTAAACTGCAAAGTTGGTTTGAACCACAAAGTCAGTGATCCAAGCTCACTAGCCACTCCTAGGAAACCCTTATAAAGGGTCTCTATGTGTCTGAACTGACTCGAGGGCACTTAACAACTTACAGATTTTACTAATTGTCTCAGAAATGTCTTTTACTGTAGCTCTGTTTGAATCACTAGCCACGCATTTGGTTGGTTGAGGTAATTTCTTCTGATCAGATTAAAAAACTGATAAAGGTAGAATCTTAGAAAATAATCAAGCAATCAAACAGATCACATGTTTCCTGTCTTGTTGAAAGAAAAAATTAAATGTGCTACCAGAGTAATTATAATTGAAATATATAAAAGAGTGCCTGACAAAATTTTCTACTTTGTTTAGAAAAACTATTTCTTCTGAATCATTGGTACTCTAATACTGTATATTAATTTTTACATGAGGTCTTAGCTTTGGGTACAATTTAACTTGTACAAAATTAAACCTTTAAAATACATTTTTACTATAAATTTGGAGTCACAAAACTATGTTTTACTATAAGAAAACACAGAACTTTTACAGTTGAACATACTGGTTATTGAGGTGTCGTCTTGTAACCTGCCTGGACCTTGAACAAATTAGTACCTGCCTTGTTTTGGTCCACTACCAATGATGGAAGTGACCCTATACATTGAGTAACCCATCTTTATTGGGCTCTGAGACCTGCTGTCTCTGATTCATTGGCTATAAGGATGTCAATGGAAAGGCAAGAGGTGACAAAGTCTGTGAAGCCCCTTCATGAATAAGCCTTGATACATTTTTGAGCCAGGTCTGATATGAGTTATGGAGCGTATGTTATACTTTTGTTTCCTAAGCAGAGATTTTTAGAGAAAGACTGGAGAATCTCTGCAAATCCTGCAGCTAGATTAGACAAAAAAAGTGGATTAAACATTCATATTACCAAAGGATTTTTTTGTGTTTGAAGAGATCAGCTCAGGGTTCCTTCATGTGGGGAAGAACCCAAGGGCATGTTCAGAGTTTTATTAGTAGCCTGGGTATGAGGTTGAGAGAGAAGATGAATCACAGAGAAATACCCCAGGATTAGTTTCACGATTGTATTTGACTTTTTGACCCCAAACTAAAGAAGATAAATGTTTTCGTCAAGATCCTCTCTCTCTTTCTCCCACACCCTTGAAGCAAAAGTTTCTTGAAGCTATACTTACTTGTTGTTTAAAGCACAGCTATATTCTATACTATTTCATTATAGCAAATTGTAATCTGTAACCCATTAAATTTGTTCCATGATTCACTAGTGATGTGAGCTGTAGTTTGGAAAACACTTGGTATTGTGCTTAAAACACTAGGACACTTCTTTTAACATCTGAGGGACCTGAATTCAAATATCTGGTATATCAGTTACTAACAGCAGATCTATGGAACTCAATATGCTTCATATACAACTGCTTGTTATTGTTGTTGTTGTCAGGTGCCATCGAGTCGGAACTGACTCATAGTGACCCCATGCACAGCAGAACGAAACAATGTCCGATCCTGGGCCAACCTCACTACCGCTGCCACACTCGATGCCATCAATGATGCCACCTGGCGGATCCATCTCATTGGGGGGTCTTCCTCTTTTTCTTTGACCCTCTATCTTACCCAGCATGACATCCTTCTCCAGTGACTATTCCCTCCTGACAATATGTCCAAAGTATGAGACACGAAGTTTAACCATCTTGGCCTCCAAGGAGCACTCTGGCTGTACTTCTTCCAAAACAGATCTATTGTTATTAGGTGCCATCAAGTTAGCCCTGACTCATAGCTGGAAATCTTTACGGGAGCAGAAAGCCTCATCTTTCTCCACAGAGCTTCTGGTGGGTTTGAACTGCTAAGCTTGTGGTTAGCAGTCCAGTACTGATCCTAGAGTGCCACCAGCTATCCTATGTAACTGTTGTTGTTGTTCAGTGCTGTTGAGTCGGTTCCAACCCATAGCGACCCTGTATAGTGTTTCTGAGGAGTGACTAGTGAGCTTGAACTGCTGACCTTATAGTTCAAATGGCTTTGCAGTCTGGCGCATTAACCCACAGTGCCACACCAGGACTCCATGTAATGGTTTAGGAAGTAGCAATTTATTATACATGAAATGTGATTGGTGCTATAGGATCAGCACTGAACTTCAAACCACGGGGTCAGCAATTCAAACCTTCCAGCTGCTCTTCAGAAAGCCTATACAGGGTCTTTATAAGTCGGAACCGACTTGACAGCACTTAACAACAACAACAATGAATTTAGACTCACTCCTGAGATGAATTAAATGTGTTTCCTTACAAAAGAAAGTTAACTGCCCTCCTTCATTTAGATCAATACTCTGGATTGTTTGGTTTCGCAAGTAGGAGAACTTTAAGTGGCCAGAATTTCAGAACTAATCCTTCTCCCTCCCAACCTGAGCTTCTGCCTTCTTCTAGTCTATCTGTTTTGGAGAAGTGCTTTATGACTGTAACAAAGATCAGTACTGTGGAATATGAAAAGGCATTTTTTCATTGCTATAATGATTAGGTCACACGGCTAGTCATTTTCATCTGTATCCCAAATAATTAAATAATAAGTTTTACTGTTTTGAAATAAGGATGTTTCAGGAAATTGTCCCAGATCACTGCTCATTTATGTAGTTATATTGCATACCGTAACATAAGTTGAAAAGTAGAATTACATCATCTTTAAATATTTTCACCTTCTGAATCGTGGGTAGTAATAGGAAGACTGAAGAATTGACACATTTCAAGTATGATGCTACTGAAGTATATTGAATACTCTGTGGGCTACCTGAAACAGGAACAAATCTGTGTTGGAAAAAGTACAACCAGAATGTTCTTTGAAAGCAAGAGTGGTGAGACTTCATTTCTATTAGTTTGGACATGTTATCAGGAGGCAGCTGTCTCTGGAGAATGATGTCATGCTTGGTAAAATAGAGTCAACAAACAAGAGGAAGCCCCTCAAGGATATGGATTGACACAGTGGCTGCAACCATGAACTCAAACATGGCAATGGTTGTGGAGTGGCTCTGGACAGGGCAGTATTTCATTCTGTTGTACAAAGGATCACTACAAATCAGAACACTATAAACCAGAACTGACTTGACAACACTTAACTTTTACAATAATTAAACTGGATGTGAAGTCAAAATAATTTGAGTTCAAGTTCTGTCTCTTCTAGACATATGAGTTAAGGCAAGTCACCTACCCTCTCTTCCTTTCTTGCTCATCATCTGCCTGCTATAAATTATAGAGATATTTCAGAGCACTTTTTGTAAATGTAAGGTGTTTATTGTTCAAATTAACTTGGCAATATCTGGCTTGTCAAGAAAGGGCTAGGTGTGGAAAAGTTCATCTGTGCATCATTTAGTCTTTAGGTTTGAACAACAGAAATCTACGCATATGAATTATGTACAGAAACAAAATGTATTCCTAGTATTTAGCAGAGGGCAGAATAAAATGTAAAGTTCAATGTATACTCTGGAGACTATGTTAAAATTATATATTCCTTTTAAGAAAAGCTGAATGACATTTAAATGACATTTTTTCTATTCTACAGAAACCAAAGGCAAATACCAAAGTAATTTGTAAGCGTTGCAAGGTAACACTGGGAGAAACCATGTCATCAGGTAAGGATTTCATTAAAAAAAAAAAGCCAAGATCATTAACTTGTTATTAAGAAAGATAAAAAACAAAAAACAAAAGAAGTAGAGCAAGAATTTAAATTACATTTGGAAAGATAGATGATTAATATATGTCAAACAATAGATGCTTTTTAAAGCATAAACCCAACTAGCCAATATCATCCAATATGCCAAGAAATTTTTATGTTTTGGTTTTTATAGGTACATAGGATTGAGTTTTAAGCAATTAAGTATGTGAGTCAATTTCAGTTTTTCCGTATACTTTTGTAGATATAAAGCAAGCAACAGTATAAAGTTTGTAGAAAAGTCTTTCTTAAAGAAGATTAAAACCTTTACTTAACACAACTCTTCAGTCACAAGAGTTGGTACCCAGAGTCTGAGACGTTGCTCTTCTTGGCTGCTGTCTGCCTCAGTGCTATTTCATATTGTTTTTTGATGACTGAGGAGTAGATTGAAGAAGCTCTGTTGAACGCAGAGACACATTCTGAGTCTTGTATTTGTTCCTTGTTTCTTCTTCTTAGTAGTGTTAAATTATGTTTTATGTAAAGTCTGCTATACTGCTTTAAATGATAATACTGAACATCCTGATAATTAAAGTGCGTCACTATTTAAAAGTACAGCTTTAAAATGTCTAGAAAGCTGCAACATGTGGTGTTTGCTCTGTGAGTGGTGAATAATTGCTTTTAATATGATTAATTAGTAATTAGGATTTTAAGTGAAGTTATTGATCTTAATGGAAAGATTGTTGTTGTTAAGTGCTGTTGAGTCTGTTCCAACTTATAGTGACCCTATATAGAGTTTCTGAGGAGTGGCTGCTGAGTTTGAACTGCCAACCTTGTGGTTCAAACAGACCTTGCAGACCAGTCATTATTCCACAGTGCCAAACCAGGAGATGGTGGTATTTTTTATTTGTTTTTGAAATAATCAAAATCTTGTACTTATCTGCTTATAGTAAGAAGAAAAGGAGGAATAAGTAGGAAATAATCCTACACTCAGTGGCATTTTTGAAGAATAAAAGCACACCTTTTCATTAATTTAGAAAACTTTAAGGCTTCTAGTTAAAGAAAGTGAATTTTCTTTTCTGTGTGAAGCCTGATTAAAATGACAGTTAAGGCACAAACCAATGCACATACACAAGGAGAAAGAGAAATGAAAAGGAGATGTAAACGAGTTTTTGAAATCTTTAAAGCTGTAAGAGAGAGTCATGGTAACATACTTGGAAAAAGCTACAATGTAGTATCTGCCAAAGGCCATTTTGGTGAGGAACAAGGCAATATTCACTGTAGAACACCATAACAGTTCAGAATTTTGAGATATCAGTTTATAAGGACTCTTGGTGTAGCACTGTGGGATCAGCACTAGACTGTCAACTATAATGTTGGCAGTTCAAAACCACCAACTGCTCTTCAGAAAACCTGTACAGACTTGCTATGAGTTAGTACCAACTCCATGGCACTTAACAATAACAAGTTTACAAGGAAGGCAGTCTGAGGTAAGGGGCTGGAAGCAGGTTGATTAGTTCAAAAGTCTATATATTAGACTCCTAGGTCCTCTGTTCAGTTTGTAACTTGCTCATATCCTTCAGGTAGGAGACTGTTCAGTGATTCAGGATAAGCACTGGGCTGGTAACACAACATCAGCCATCACCAGGTCCAACCAGGGAAAAGGTTTCCATGCAGAGACTGGTTGTATTCAGCTACCTTGCAGTTAGCAGATGTTCCCCTACACACTGGAGCTTCCTCTTAGCATTTTACTGCCTGTACTTAACACTGAATGGCTTGCTGAAGAACACCAAATACTTGGGGAGACCTCCAACAGGAGTCCTGGTGTAGCGCTGTAGGTTAATGCGCTGGACTGCAAAGTCGGTTTGATCTGCAAGGTTGGCAGTTCAAGCTCACGAGCTGCTCCTTGGAAACCCTATACAGGGTAGCTCTGGGTCGGAACCAACTCGATAGTTGAGTTCATCTCAGGGAGTGGCTGGTGAGTTTGAACCTCTGACCTTGCAATTTAAATCAACCTTGTGCTTATTCTACAGCGCCACACCAAGAAAATAAATAAATAAGCAAGCAAGCTGCATAAAGGCTTAGAAGAAGAAGGCTATGTAGATAATGGGAGAAGACCTTAAAAACGACACCAAAACAAAACCTGAACATAATAAATGTTCTTGGAGAAATGAAAAAGGAGCTCTGGTGACAAAGTGGTCAAGCATTTGTCTGCCAACTGAAAGAACAGCAGTTCAAACCCACCAGCCACTCTGCATTAAGAAAAGTTATCAGTCAGCTTCTGTAAAGATTGTTTGTTTTTGTTGTTAAGTGCCATCAAGTCAGTTCTACTTATAACGTTTCTGAGGTTTGAACTGCCGACCATGCAATAAAACGGACCTTGCGGTCCAGTGTACTATCCTGTAGCACCAGGTTACAGACTTTGAAATCCTATGTTGCGTTTCTACTCTGTCCTATGAGTCAGAATCAACTCAGTGATGACAATTTTGATTTCAAGGGGTTGGAGAAATGAAATAATATGGACTTTATAATTCAGAGAACTTAGAATTAAAATGTAATAACTTATTGAACATCTACTCAAAGGACTGGGAGATAAAAGTGAGGTAATAGCCCCAGAAAATAGATTTAAAGGTAGAGATGAAAAATTGGAAAGACATTGTTATGTGAGCTTCCGGAGAATCGGAGCCTTGTCTGTTTATCACTCTACCCTCAGTCCTGGTGTGATGCTGTAGGATAAACACTGAACTGCTAACTGTGAGGTCAGTGGTTCAAACCTACCAGCTGCTCCTGGGAAACCTCAAACAGTATTGCTGTGAGCTGGAACTGATTCGACAACACTTAACAACAGCAATTACAAGTAACTTCAGTAGTTAGGACAATGTATAGCATTGTCACTTGGTAAATATTGTTGAATGAATGAGTGAACTGAATTTTTGAAGGCACCAAGCATTTAGCAAACAGAAATTCTAAAGGTAATAGAGACAACAGGGTGTTGAAAATTATTTTAAAAAACAAATAAGAAAATCCATATTACAATACTGTTTTCAGAACTAAAAATTATTTAAAAAGCATTATTTGCATTTCTGCACTGAAAGGACCCACTAAGTGCCCCTTATAGTTATTGGGAGCTAGTCCAAAACATATTGAATAATTTTAGAACACTGAGGATGAAATTTCAAAAGAGAAAAACCCAGGTAGCATACAGAAGCAGTGTGGTGCTGTGTGTTGTTAATGCACTGAACTGCAAAGTGGGTTTGAACTGCAAGGTCAGCAGTTCAAGCTCACTAGGTGCTCCTTGGAAACCCTGTACAGGGCTGCTAAGGGTTGGAACCAACTTGACAGCACTTAACAATAACAACACTCCAAAACACATCATTGAATAATTTCAGAACACTGAGGATGAAATTTGAAAAGAGAAGAAGCCAGGTAGCATACAAAAGATTAGGAATGCAAATGACAGTGAGCTTCCTAACAGAATGAGGAAAGCCAGAAGTCAGTGAAACAATGACTTCAAACTTTGGAAGGAGAAACTTCTCAAGCCAGAATTCTATACATAGTCAAACCTTCACTCAAGCATGAAGGTGCCAAATTCATTTTTAGAAATTCAAGGTCTCAAAAAATAGACCTCAAAGTCACATTTTCCTCAGAAATTTACCTCAGAATATATTTCACCAAAAGAAGGAATTTAACCTAGACAGAGATGACATGGGAGTTGAGAAATAGGACGTCTGTCATAAAAGAGCAAGAAAAGGAAATCCCAGGGTGAGAGATTTAAGCAAGCTTAGAGACCTATGAGCCTCTAGGGTTGAAGCAAAGGCAAGAAGGTTGCAGTAAAGAATTTCCCATTATAAGGTGGAATCAGTAGATTATTTTACTTCTTTGACCATATCAATGGTTGGAAAATATGGCCTTGGTGATAGAAATGATGCTGAAGAACGCATGATAGAATTCTGCAAAATCAATTATTTGTTAATTTCAAATACCTTCTTTAGACAGCATAAGAGATGACTATACACATAGACCTCACCAGATGGAATACACAGAAATCATACTGACTACATCTGCAGAAAGAGATGATGGAAAAGTCCCATATCATCAGTGAAAACAAGTCCAGGGGCAGGCTGGAACAGACCATCAATTACTCATATGCAAATTCAAACTGAAGCTGAAGAAAATGAAAACAAGTCCATGAGAGCCAAAATATGACCTTGAATATATCCC